GCCATCTACTTCCATAGAGATACTGCCTCACAAACCCAAGGAGGGGATGCACTTATTAGGATAATCAACCATACAAGATCAAAAGGGCAATTGGTTATGGATAAAGCTAAGGAGGCAGGAAGTAATAGGAAAGATGGAGGAAGGGAAATGGTAAACACAGGAAGGAAGTGGGAAGAGTGCTGTTACATTGTGGGGATTGCAATGAATGTCACAAAACAAAATGTGTATGAATTGTTGAATGGAAAACCAATTTACTATGTAAAATTTCACCTAAATCACAATTTTTTAAAAAAATGTGCTTCAAAGGACACCATCAAAAAAAATGAAAAGACAACTCAAAGAATGGGAGAAAATATTTGTAAATCATTTATCTGATAAGTGATTTATATCCAGAATATATAAAGGACTCTTACAACTCAATAATAAAAAGACAATCTAATCTAAAACTGGGCAGAGGATCTGAATAGACATTTGTCCAAAGAATATACAAATGATCAATAAGCACATGAAAAGATACTCAACATCTGTCATTAGGGAAATGCAAGTAAAACTAAAATGAGATACAATAGCACCATCACTAAACTGAAAAACCCATTACCTTGAGTCAATTCCAATTCATGAGGACTGGGTGGTACAAATGGTTTATGCTGGATTACTAACCTAAAGGTTGGTGGTTTGACCCCAAGACCCTGGTGATCTGCTTTCATAAAGATTACAGCAAAGAATACAATATGGAGTGATTCTATTGTACAACACATGGGGTCACAGTCAATAAGATGGCTATAATGAAAAATATGGACAACAGCAAGTGTTGAAGATGTAGAGAAATTGAATCCTCATATATTGCTGGTGGGAATGTAAAACAGTGCCAGTCATTTTGGAAAACAGTTTAGCAGTTTCTCAAAAAGTTAAAATAGTTATCATGTGTCCCAGAAATTCCACTGCTAAGTATGTATTCCAGAGAACTGAAAACATATGTCCACACAATAACTTCTATACAAATATTCATAGCAGCTTTACTTATAATAGTGAAAAGTAATGTCTATCTTTGATAAATAGACAAACAAATGTGCTATATCTATATAATGGAATATTATTCAGCCATAAACAGAATGAGGTTCTGATAGAATCCACAGTATGGATGAACTTGAAAACATTATGCTAAAAGAAAGAAGCTAGACACAAGAGACCATATATTGTATGATTCCATTTATACGAAATGTCCAGAATGGGAAAATCAGTAGAGACAGGAAGTGGATTAGTGGTTGCCAGGGGTTGGAATAAAGAGAGAATTGGGAGTGAGTTCTAGTAGGCACAGGGTCTCTTTGGGGGTGATGAAAATGTTCTAAAATTAGATAATGATGATGGTTGCACAACTCTATAAATACACTGTAATCCACTGAATTGTATATTTTCCTAAAAAGTTAATTGTTTTCTCCCTATTCTTTTTTTCCTTTAAATTTTATTTTGTTGTTGTTGAGAATATACACAACAAAACATACACCGATTCAATAGTTTATACATGTACAATTTAGTGGCATTGATTGCACTCCTTGATTACGTAATCATTCTCACCCTCCTTTACTAAGTTGTTCTTCTCTCATTAACACTGCCCCCCCAAATTTCCTATCTAATCTTTCAAGATGCTATTGACAATTTGAGCCCATACAGATAGTTCTTAAAAGAGCATAATGCTCAAGGCAGACCTTTTTCACTAGTTAAGCTAAACTACTATTCCGTTTTAAGAAGACTTCAGGGTGTATTTTTGGTTTAAGATTTAAAGATTATCTCAGAGCAAGAGTTTCAGGGTTCATCTACCCTCCATGGCTCTAGAAAGTCTAGAATCCACAAAAATTTGAAATTCTGTTCTGCATTTCCCCTTTTTGATCGGGATTCTTTTATGGAATCTTTTATCATATTGTTCAGTAATGGTAGCCAGGCACCATCCAGTTCTTCTGGTCTCATGCCAAAGGATGCAGTTGTTCATGAAGCCAGTTACCCACACATTCCATATCCTCCTCCTATTCCTGACTCTCCTTCTTCCTCTGTTGTTCCAGGTGAATAGAGACCAACTATTGTGCCTTGGATGGCCGCTTGAAATCTTTAAAAAGTGAATTCTGTGTGTGAATTATGTCTATAAACCTGTTATTAAAACAAGTTAATAAGAGAATATTATAAATAACTTTATGTGAATATATTTGACAACTTAGATTAAGTGGAAAAATTTGAAAACTAACAAAGTAATTTCAAGAAGAAATATATTATCTAAACATGATTAATTACTATATAATATTTTTCTTTAATAAAAAGCCTATTTTAAAAAATTGAATTTGTAATTAAAACCTTTTTCACAATGAAAACTCCAGGCCCAAATAGCTTTGCTCATGAATTCTATCAAATATTGAAGGAAGAAATAAAGCCAGTTCTATAGAAACTTTTCCCGAAATGAAGAGAACTATTTCCTAACTCTTTCTATCACGTGAACATTTTGGTATTAGTATTATTATAATGCTAGTATTATATGCCTGGCAGCCAGGCAACCTCTAGTTCCTCTGGTCTCAAGGTTGTGGAGATTGGAGTTCACAAGATCCATTAGTCCTTTGGACTGATTGTTTCCTTGAGTCTTTGATTTTCTTTACTCTTTTTTGCTCTGGTTGGGGGCAGACCAATAATTGCACCTTAGATGGCCACTCATAAGCTTTTTTTTTTTCTTTAAATTGTGATTTGGGTGAAAATTTACAGAGCAAATTCACTTTCCATATAGCAGCTCATATACACTTTGTCTCATGACACTGACTACAATTTACCACAATACAACATCTCCCCTCCCACTTCCTCCCCATAGTTACTTTGCCCTATGTCTTTCCCTCCATGCATCCCTGCCCACTGCACTGTCTCCCTGTGCTATAAAATACTATATAATACTAGTATAATTAGTATTATAATACTGATACCAAATTAGTTCCCAAGAACACTTTGGTATTAGTTGCCTAAATAATCTCTTATTTAATGAAGTTTTCTTATTATAAGTTTAGGAGCTCTGGTGACATAGTGCCTAAAGCATATGACTGCTAAGCAGAAGGCTGGAGGTTCAAACCTGCTAGCCACTCGGAAGGAAAGTTGAGCAATCTACTTCCATAATGATACTGCCTTGGAAACCCAAGGAGGAGTCAGATCCTACTTGACAGCAGTGAGTGAGTTATTATAAGTTTTGCATTTTTATTTCATTTTCATTAAAGTAGAAAGTATCTACCTTTAGCACCTCAAAGTGCTATCTATCTATCTGCATGAATCTAACTCCTACTTTTTAATGCTTTGGTGTTTTGCTTATTAGATGCCTTAGGCACTACGCCACCAGAGCTCTCTGTTTTCTTTATACTGAGGTGTAATCTATACTGAAGGTGGAGTCTTTGATCTTCATCAATAAGTGCTTCAAGTCTTCACTTTCAGCAAAAAAGGCTGTGCCCCATGCATATCACAGGTGGTTAGTAAGTCTTCATCCAATTCTGATGCTGTGTTCTTCTTCATATAGTCCAGCTTCTCAGACTATTTGCTCACCATACTGATTGAACAAGTATGGTAAAAGAATACAATCCTGACACACAACTTTCCTGATTTTAAACCATTCAGTATCCCTTTGTTCTACCTGAATGACTGACTCTTGGTCTATGTACAGATTCCCCATGAGCACAATTAAGTGTTCTGGGATTCCCATTATTTGCAATGTTCCATAATTTGTTATGATCTTAGGTAAGTCATTTAAACTTGGTAAGCTTTCTTTTCCTCAGCCATAAAAAGTATATAATATCACCTCATAGTAGTACTGTGAGGATCAAGTGAAGTAAAATAAATATGTAAACATGTCAATTTCCATTGTTACTGTTTTTCCCCCCTGAGGGCAGAGACCACATCTTATTTGTCTTTTAATTTGTCTAAATGGTTTCTGCTCACATTTTAAAACACTGAATAGAATCTTAAATGGATTGAGACATCAACAGATTTTATTGAGAATGGGTAGGATCTGAGACTAGTTTAATATGGTTGTATAAAAGTAGCCTATGTTTGTTACCCTGGAGTTTAGCTAGAACCCCTGGCTAAACTTTATAGCATTTCCTATTGTCCAATGTGAGGAAATAAGTAATACTCTTCAAAAGCCTGACTATGCATCAAGAAGTGTAGTGTACTGCCTTTCTTAGCTAAAATGATCCATTTTATCAAGGTTCAAGAAATTGCTATTTCCTAACGGAAGCAAGAGTGCTAGTCATAATCACTAATAGGAGTTATAACATAAAAATCATTGTGAATTCTTGAGAACTCCATTATGCCATACTATTTGAAGATGCTTTCTACCCTGAGTAATAAAATAATGTTGCTCAGGGGTATCAATTCCATCTAAATGGGTAAAGTTAGAAGGAACTGTCCTCTCCTGGGAGAAAGCAGAGGCATCTCTTATCTTGTCCTTGAGAAGCAATCAGCCAGGCATAGAGGTGGACAAGGGCCACTGTGCACTCTGCAGAAAACATCTGAGTCTCTGTGTTATTCAGGCATCCAGGAGTTTCCTTGGATGAGGGGATTGGCTTAGTTAAGGAAAGAGCAACACAGACTGACCAGAGAAGGACAAGGATTTGTCCCAGCCTTTCTGCTTTCATAAAGCTCTAAATTCTAACATGAATTTGAGCTCAGGACCCTAATTTGGCTATGGTCAGAGGCCATTATATATATATATATATGAAACCTAAACTCACTGCCACTGAATCAGATCTGACTCATAGCGACCCCTCCTTGGGTTTCTGAAGGTGGTATCACTACAGAAGTAGATTGCCCAACCTTCCTTCCAAGGAGTGGCTGGTGGGTTTGAACCGCCAGCCTTCTGGTTAGCAGTCAAATGCCTTAAGCACTACACCACCAGAGCTCAGAGATTATCAATTAGGCTATATGGTTGGAGACTGAGAGAGAGTAAGAGAAAAGGAAAAGCAGTGCTGAAAAGTGGAATTACCCACCTATAAGGAATCATCTCAACGAGTGTCTTGCTGGTTTCTGTAACCATGCTTATCTTGTTTGAAAGTATAGTGAAGCCAATAATCTGTACAGGGTTTACAAAAAAAAAAAAAAAAAAAAAAAAGGTATATGGTCATCTAAGTATCGTTCATAGCTTTCAGGAGCAGAGGTGTCCATAGCCCCTGGGAAGACAAAATTAAAGGAGTGTAAGTCCCTATACGTGAAGGTTGGATAGAGATACAGGACCAGTTCAGTACAACAAGAAAGGCAGGGGTCCTCTCTCACTCTAAAGGTCTGAGGGTCCTTCCTTAAACTTATTTTAGCATTATAGCCAGAATGAAAAACTACTTCAGCCTTGGCCTCTGACACAATGATAGGAATATAGGAACATCAGACTTCTCTCTCTTCACTAACCTTACAAACCTAGACCAATATTAATACGTTCGCAGCTAACTATGTATCAAGGCCTCAGGATTTTTGTTTGTTTGTTTTGTTTTTAATTTTTCATATGTAGGTACATTGTACAGGGAGCTCTGGTGGCATAGTGCCTAAGGCACTTGACTAACCAGAAGGCTGGCGGTTCAAACCCACCAGCCGCTCCTCAGAAGGAGGGTTGGGCAATCTACTTCCTTAATGATACCACCCCTGAAACCCAAGGAGGGGTCACTATGAGTCAAATCGACTCACATTCAGGTTTTTTTTTTTTTTTTTTGTATACTGTACTGATATTGTTGTTGTTGTTGTTATGTGCCATCGAGTCGGCCCCGACTCATAGTGACCCCTCCTTGGGTTTCCGAGGCAGTATCACTACGGAAGTAGGATTGCCCAACCTTCCTTCCGAGGAGTAAGTCCTTTGGGAGACTGTTGAGGTATACTGAGAATCATGATACCGACTAACCCTTATAATATGAAGCTGCCCCTGATAACACACACACACACACACATACACACACACGCACGTAAGTCTTTAGCAAAGCTTTTATTTACCTGCTTTTATTTTTCACTTACTTCTAAAATGGCAATTCTCCCTTCTAGTCTCTGACTTTCAACTAGGGAGAAGAAAGACAGCCTAGCAATTACTTTACTTTATAAAGACCTTGTGCCAAAGTAAATTAAAGCAGAGACAAGAGACCTTACTGCAAGGTTTTAAGATAACGGTTATATAATTGCTTTATTTCATCCTTCCTAACACATAAATCTTTCCCCAGTATCAATTTGGAGAGTTTAGCCACATCCTGAGCAGGCCAGTAGTTGGTTTCCTGTGGTGCTGTGATCAGATGAAGGTCCCCAGGAAGCCCACAGATCAGAATGGATGAAAGAATCTGGATCACAGCTCGGGGCACAGAAGGTTAAGTCTTAGATTTTATATAGTTGAGGGACAAGAAGGGTGTGAAGTGGCCAAGGAGCTCTTTTATTTCCATTATAAAGGTAATTACTGTTCATTAAGGAAAATTTAGAAAATTTAAAAAGCAGAAATGAAAAAGATAACTACTGTTGACACTTTTTGAGCTTTTGCTATATCATATGTGTATGTGTTTGTACACACACATATATAATTGTGAACATGTAGCATGTATAATTTAATATTGTTCAGGAACTTGAATATATTTGTCCATATCTTCTACCTGGGTCCCAGACAATACCTTGAAAAATTTTCTAAATACTTTAGTATAATGTTTAAGGATGGATTGGTGTGTGCAGTTTCCTCTAGTATAGCTAAGTAGTAGTTTCTTGGTGGCTGATGTAAGAAGGCTTTTATGCCCCAGGCCATAGCAGCCCTCATGCTCTCTCTCCCATTTTCCTAGTTGCCAAGGAAAACCAGGAAGGTTTTTTTCAATCCTACCATTCATCTCTAATCCTTGCTACGTGGTAGAGAAAAAAGAGAGAAGTTTTTCCTCACCCGTTGATTTGACATGTGCATAAAAAGTATACTGCAGGCTTTAGTAGCCTATGTGAACAAATTAGGCCCACCAAAATGTTTAATGCCTAAATTGCAATAATTCTAAGCCTTCACCCACTTTATTGCTGGACCTCAGCTTCCTCCCCCACCTCATCACGGTGCATTCTAATTATGTATAGCATGCCCCAAAGGAATGTCTTAACTGTGGCTCACAAACCAGTCTGTCACAGTCAGCCCATAGCATCCTCTAGCTCTTGCTTCTCTCTGTTTAATGCCCAGTGCCTTTGCAGCTGCTTGAAGGAATGTCATTATGATTCTACTGATGATGATGCTTAAGACATCTTAAGTGTGAGTGCTGTTGGTGTTTGATCACAAATCTACCGCTCCCTAAGGTTCCAGGGCTGGGCTGGGTACCATGAAAAGGAAAGGGTGCCCCTGAAGCCACTCTCCAATCGCCATACACATATTGAAGCACTATTTGTATCTAAGGTTTTAAAAAATCTTTTGTAAAAGCAGCCTTTCAGCTTCAGGCCTTTAGGAATGAATAGCTTTTCAACTACTCCAAGGAAGAAAGAACATGCATCACCACCACAAGTAGACAAGAGACATGAGACTGAGCTTGGTATCAATCCCCAAAGAATGTTTTTCAATCTTGAAGATAATGAACACTGGTTAGTTAGTAAATGATGGGCTATGCAGTGGTAGCACACAACATATAAAAGTTATTTTTTGCTTACACAAAATCCATTGTGGGCCAGTGGCTCTCCAGGGCAGCTTCTTTGACCAACAGTGCCCCAGGGATCCAGGCTGATTCCACCTAGGGACTCTGCTATCTCAACATATGACCTCTAAAGTCATCACAGCAGGGGAAGAGAGAACATGAGGACTCACACCTATTCTCTTATGCTGTGGTCCAGAAGCCACCTGGTCTTGCCAACTACCAGGGAAGCTGGAAGATGTGAGGGAGAACATAGGTATCTGAGAAACTTTAAATATCTTTGATGCAAGACCCTTCATTCATATAGATACCCAAAAACTCAGAAATCCCAAGAATGAGAAATGCTGGCTTTGAAAAACTGAGCCTTACTTATGAAAATGTCCTTATCACTGTAAAAATACTTATTATAATAGCAAAAGATAAATTTTAACCAGTTGCCTTCAAAAAAGAAACAAGAAATGTGGCATTAGACAGTAGTGAGCCCTGTTGTTGTTGTTGTTATTTGCCGTCGAGTCAGCCCCAACTCATAGCGACCTCTCCTTGGGTTTCCGAGGCAGTATCACTACGGAAGTAGGATTGCCCAACCTTCCTTCCGAGGAGTGGCTAGTGGGTTTGAACCGCCAGCCTTCTGGTTAGCAGTCAAGTGCCTTAGGCACTATGCTACCCTCTGCCATTTACTAGCAATGTGGGTTACAAAATTAATTTAATATCTCTCTGCCTCAATTTCTTTAGTGTAGCATAGGGAGAATAAAAGGAGGCAGAATAACAGTATGATGGCAACTATATTAAAATAGAAACAAAACCTTTACATAAGAAAAGATAGGAATTCACCAACACTGAGCATAGGCCTGTCATACAGTAAGTAATGAATAAATATTTGTTTGAAAGAACAAAGGTGTGAATAACAGAAAATACAAAAACAACAATAGTAGTTCACTTTGGGTGGTACAATTATAGGAGTTGTTTTTTTTTTTAATATTTTTCCAAATTTCTAGAATGAGCCCGTATTACGTTCATAAGGGAAAAATCCCTTCCATTTTACAGTATTATTTAAAAGCAGCAATAAAGTACTTTGAAAATAAGCATGTTACACAAATATAAGCTTGTATTTAAAACTAAATGTAGTCAGCTTTGTCACAATTTGACTTTTGTGTTTATAAAAATTATTCTTATTTTTACAGGCTCTTATGACCCCTTCTCTTCCTAGGTTACTTGCTTTTGCTCTTTATTTAACTGGGAAAAAAGTAGGTATTTTAAATGATCTGAACCATGAATTTTGGGGCACTGAAAACCTACCAGTAGTATTTCCATGGGAAACTCGATGGGATACCGATTAAATGAAATCTTGATACACTTGTTGATTCTCAAAGTGACTACAACAGTTAGAAATAGTAGGATGCTGGTAGAATTAGCCTTTGGTAGAGATACACAGTAGTTAATTATGTTCTGAAAGAAAAAAAAATTACAGAGATTGAGCAAGTGATAGAGTTGTGTAAATCTAGAAAATGATATTCTTCCTAGATCAGTTAAAAAAGAAGCCCTTAGTCAGCATTGCTGGCTACAAAGGTCTGACTACAAAAGTGTAGGCAAGCACTTTCAGGAGAAGATACACCTTTTTTTTTTTTTTTTTTTAAGTTGGAAATGAGACATTAAAAGAGGCAGTAATGTCCAATAAGGTGAGAATACACTTCAGATGCTTCAATATAATGGAAATGACCTGGGAGTTCTGTTTATTGGCCTATCCATCATTAATTTCCCTAGATCACATTTGTTATATGGAGTCCCTGAGTGGTGTAAATGATTAACATGCTTAGCTGCTGGGAGGTTTGAGTTCATCCAGAAGCACCTTGGAAGAAGGGCCTGGTAATCTACTTCTGAACAATCAACCACTGAAAACTCTACGGACCACAGTTCTACTCTGACACGCATAGCGCTGACATGAGTTGAAATCTAGGTTAGTTTCTACCTCATTCTTGCATTCAGGGACTACTGAGTTATTACATATTCTTTAGTTGTTTCAGGATCTATGCCTATTATATGACAGGTATTGGGAAGAAGTATGATAGATACAGTATATTAAAGCCAAAATTCTTGTGATGAAATATACAACAAAAGCCAGAACCTGTGTTAGGTGGAAACCTGTCAGAGAAGGAAAACACAAATATTTTGCACTAATAGAGAGTGACAGAAAAGTGGTAACACTGCACCCTGTCCAAGGTGGAAAACTGGTGAGACTTAGATAAACAAGGTAGTCCTGTAGAGTTCTGGCCCTTACAAGTTTCACTATATATAACAAGGCATTTGCCATTTTAACTATTTTTAAGTGACATAAATTACATTTGCCATGTTGTGTCACCATCACCATTATCTATTTTGAAAACCAAATTTTAATGTAAATCATGTTAGTGAAAGCGTGGACTTGAAATGGTCAATGCAACTGAGCATGGGCCAACTGGCATCTGTAACTGACTGAGACCCCAAATCTAGCAGAGAAGAAATTATTTCTAGTACTCTATTAACTGAGCTGCCTACTGCACTGTTGTCACCTTTTTGGGAATGCACAAATGTCTTTGCACTTGGGTCCACTCCTCTTTGGAGACAAAGAAAGGGGCATTTGTAATTTTTGATGAGGGTTGAAATTACTTACATAAAAGAAGGCAACTGGACCAGCATGGAAACCAATCATAATCCCAAAGACACAAGTCAGCTGGGACAGCATAACATGTAGAGCGGTGGCAGCCAGGTAGGCATTGATGACAGAGTCCGGAAGGTAAGTGGCAACAAAACCAAAACCTAACATGCCCATTGATAGCTGCAGGAGGTTCAAAGTGAAAAGGGAATCATTGTGAGAATGGGGCAGAATGTCATCAAACCAGCAGAAGCACAGATTAGGCTCCCTTCAGGGGCCCATGGCCCCTTCTTAGAAAGAGGAGTTTACAACAAAAAAGTAAATTTAGGCCCCTTTGATAACTCTTTTGTGTTTCTTTCTCTGATGAACTAAAACTGATGAGATAAGATGAGTCCTTGTGCATTGATTTAGAGGCTCAGAACAGGCACTTCTTTTTCTTCATGGGCACTGTCAGTTGACTTCAATCTTGCCCCAGAATGTACTAGAACCTCTTGTGGGGAAAACATGGACAAGGTGATTGGAACAAGCTTTTGTCTTTGCAAAAGGGCCTTTCATTCTAAGTTTGATAGTCCTCAGGCAATGTTAACATCACTGTGAGGAAAGTACCTTTTCACAAAGGAAAAGACAAGTCAAAAAACTGGGCTCAAGCTAAAACTTTTTGGCCTCTGACCCTTAATCTTTACTAAGAATGGTTACACAGAATATATTTATGTCTTCAGGTTTATATATATCCTGAAGGCATGAATAAATATAAATATATGACAAAATAGGGAAAAAGGCCTGGTGATGTACTTCCAAAAACCAGCCAGTAAAAACCCTATGGAGCACAATGGTCTGATTCAAAACCTTCTGTTACCATGAGTTAGGGGCTGCCTCAACAGCAGTTAAAATAGCAATACTACACACACACACACACACACACACACACACTCAATCTGAAAAAATATATGCAAACTATCTATAAATAGAAGTTAGCTTTGGAAAATAGGGTTTTTTTTGTTTTTGTTTTTGCAACATAAATGTCTATCTACTATAATAAAAACGCAATTAGATAGAGAATGCAAATTGATAGAGAATGCATGAGACCAAATCCCCCTATGAGAGTTGGTTGAAAAAATTGTCACAGTCCAATGAAGACTACTCAGTAAAAGGGAGAAAGAAAAGGAAAGAAAAAAAAAAAAAAAACCTCTTGAAGCCTACTATGAGGCTAGAGGCTATGCCACCAGTGTTGTAAAATGCCAGCAGGGTCACCCATGGTGGACAGGTTTCAGTGGAACCTCCGGGCTAAGACAGACTCAGAAGAAGGAAAAGGCCATCCACTTCTCAAACAATTGGCCAGTGAAATACTTATGAACAGCAGTGAAACACTGTCTGATATATTACTAGAAAACTTTATGAATAGCCCTGAAACATTGTCTGATATAGTGCCAGATCATGAGCCCATCAGATCAGAACTCTCTCTCGCTGCCATCGAGTCAAATCCGACTCATAGCGACCTCTCCTTGGGTTTCCAAGGTGTTGTCACTATGGAAGTAGATTGCCCAATCTTCCTTCCGAGGAGTGGCTGGTGGGTTTGAACCGCCAGCCTTCTGGTTAGCAGTCAAATGCCTGAGGCACTACACCATCAGATCAGAAGGTGCTCAAAATATGACTGGGGAAGAGCCAACTCCTCAGAGTAAAGACAATTTTAATGATATGGATGGAATAAAGCTTTTGGGACCTCCATTAGCTGATGTGGCATGACTCAAAATGAGTAGAAACAGATGTAAACATACATTAATAATCAGAACATGGAATGTACAAAGTATGAATCGAGGAAAACTGGAAGTTGTCAAAAATGAAATGGAACGCATAAAGATCGATATTCTAGGCATTAGTGAGCTGAAATGGACTGGTTTTGGCCATTTGACGACCATATGATCAACTATGCTGGGAATGACAAATTGAAGAGGAATGGTGTAGCATTCATCATCACAAAGACTGTTTTAAGATCTGTCCTGAAATACAATGCTGTAAGTGATAGGATAATATCCATATGCCTCCAAGGAAGACCAGTTAATACTACTGTCATTCAAATCTATGAACCAACAACCAAAGCCAAAGATGAGGAAATTGAAGATTTCTACCAACTTCTGCAGTCTGAAATTGACCAAACATGCAATCAAGATGTATTGATTATCACTGGTGACTGCAATGCGAAAACTAGAAGCAAAGAAGAATTACCAGTAGTTGCAAAATATGGCCTCAGTGATAGAAATAACACTAGAGATTGCATGATAGAATTTTGGAAGACCAATTACTTACTCATTGCAAATACCTTTTTTCAACAACATAAACAATGGCTATATACACATGGACTTCACACCAGATGGAACACAAAGGAATCAGATTGACTACATCTGTGGCAAGAGGTGATGGACAAGTTCAATGTCATCCACCAAACAAGGCCAGGAGCTGACTGTGGAACAGACCATCAACTGCTCCTATGTAAATTCAAGTTGAACTTGAAGACAATTAAAACGAGTCCACAAGAACCAAAATATGACCTTGTTAATATCCCTCTTGAATTTAGAGACCATCTAAAGAACAGATTTGATGCATTGGATACCAATGACCAAAAACCAGAGGAATTGTGGGATGACATCAAGAACATCATCCATGAAGAAAGCAAGAGGTCGTTAAAAATACAAGAAAAAAAGACCAAAATGGATGTCAGAAGAGACTCTGAAACTTGCCCTTCAGTGGAGAGTAGCTAATGTAAATGGCAGAAATGACAAGATAAAAAAGCTGAACAGAAGATTTCAACGAGCAGCTCGAGAAGACAAAGTCAATTATTATAATGAAATGTGCAAAGACCTGGAGTTAGAAAACCAAAAGGGAAGAACATGCTCAGCATTTCTCAAACTGAAAGAACTGAAGAAAAAATTTAAACCTCAAGTTGCAATATTGAAAGATTCTATGGACAAAATATTGAATGATGCAGGAAACACCAAAAGAAGATGGAAGGAATACATGGAGTCACTGAACCAAAAAGAATTGGTCAATGTTCATCCATTTCAGGAGGTGGCATATTATCAAGAACCAATGGTATTAAAGGAAGAAGCCAAAGCTGCACTGAAAGAATTGGCGAAGACAAGCCTCTAAGAATTGACAGAATAGCCATTGAGATGTTTCAGCAAATGGATGCTGCACTGGAGGCACTCACTTGGCGATGCCAAGAGATTTGGAAGACAGCTACCTGGCCAACTGACTGGAAGAGATCCATATTTGTACACATTCTGAAGAAAGGTGATCCCACAGAATGTGGAAATTATCAAATATCATTAATATCACATACAAGTAACATCTTACTGAAGATAATTCAAAAATGGTTGCAGCAGTATACTGACAGAAAACTTCCAGAAATGCAAGCTAGATTCAGAAGAGGATGTGGAATGAGGGATATCATAGTTCATGTTAGATGGATCTTGGCTGAAAGCAAAGAATACCAGAAAGATGTTTACTTGTGTTTTACTGACAATCCAAGAACATTCAATTGTGTGTATCATAACAAATTATGGATAGCATTGAGAAGAATGGGAATTCCAGAACACTTGATCATGCTCATCAGGAACCTATACATAGATCAGGAGGCTGTTGTTCAAACAGAACAGGGAAGTACTGCATGGTTTAAAATCAAGAAGGGAGTGTGTCAAGGTTGTATCCTTTCACCATACTTACTCAATGTGTATGCTGGGCAAATAATCTGAGAAGCTGGATTATATGAAGAAGAACGTGGCATCAGGATTGGAGGAAGACTCATTAACAACCTATGATATGCAGAGGACACAACTTTGCTTGCTGAAAGTGAAGATGACTTGAAGCATTTACTGATGAAGACTAAAGACTATAGTCTGCTGTATGGATTACACCTCAATATTAAGAAAACAAAAATCCTCACAATTTGTCCAATAAACAGTTCCACAATGGATGGAGAAAAGATTGAAGTTCTCAAAGACTTCATATTACTTGATCCTACAATCAACACCAATGGAAGCAGCAGTCAAGACACTAGACAATGTATTGCATTGGGCAAATCTGCTGCAAAAGACCTCTTCCAAGTGATGAAGAGCAAAGATGTCTCCTTGAAGACTAAGGTGTGCCTAACCCAAGCCATGGTATTTACAATGGCCTCTTATGCACATGAAAGCTGGACAGTGAATAAGGAAGAATGAAGAAGAGTTGATGCTTTTGAGTTGTGGTGTTGGAGAAGAAGGCTAAGAGTAATATGGACTGCTAAAAGGACTAACAAGTCTATCCTGGAAGAAGTGCAGCTGGAATGTTCCTTGGAGGTGAGAATGGACAGATTTTGTCTCACCTATTTTGGTCATGTTGTCAGAAGGAACCATTCCCTGCAGAAGGAGATCATGCTTGGTAAAATGGAGGGTCAACGAAAAAGTGGAAGGCCTTCAATGAGATGTATTGACACAGTGGCTGCAATGATGGGCTCAGGTATCACAAGGATAGTGAGGGTGAGACAGGACTGGGCAGTGTTTATTTTGCTGTGCATAGGGTTGCTATGAGTCAGAGAGGATTCAACAACAACACTGTCACCCTACCATTCATCTGTCAGTTTGTCATACTGTGGTGGCTTTTGTGTTGCTGTGAGGCTGGAGGCTATGTTACTGGTATTTCAAATACCAGCTGGGTGACCCATGGTGGACAGGTTTCAGTGGAGCTTCCAGACTAAGACAGACTCAGAAGAAGGAAGGCGCCATCCACTTCTCAAAGAAATGGGCAGTGAACTCTTTATGAATAGCAGTGAAATACTGTCTGATACATTACTGGAAAACTTTATGAATAGCCCTGAAACATTGTCCGATATAGTGACAGATGATGAGCCCATCAAATCGGAAGGCACTCAAAATATGACTGGGGAAGAGCTGACTCCTCAGAGTAAAGACGACCTTACTGATATGGATGGAGTAAAGCTTTCAGGACCTCCATTGGCTGATGTGGCACAACTCAAAATGAGAAGAAACACCTGCAAACATCCATTAATAATTAGAACATGAAATGTCTGAAGTATGAATCTAGAAAAACTGGAAGTTGTCAAAAATGAAATGGAATGCATAAAGATTGATATCCTAAGAATTAATGAGCTGAAATGGACTGGTTTTGGCCATTTTGAATCAGACAAGCAT